CGAAGTTAATGCAAAGAATGATTGTGGTCCCCTTCCCTACTTTCGCAGATTTACATGATATGGGGGTCCAAATAGAAGATGCTATGAGGCAAGGTCTGTTTGACCAGGACAGAGAACAACCGAGGAGGACCTTTAATCGCAACAACAATGCGGGCCCGAGTGGCGCTGCTAATATGAGAGCCTCAGAAGTCAGTATGGTCACCACCACTCCCCCTCCCCCTCCCCTTCCAATTGCTGCGCTGCCTCCCCTCCCCTCCCCTATATATGCGGGAAGCTGAGATGGAGATGAAACTCAGAAAATAAAAAAAAATAAAAATAATAAAAAAATTCAAAATTCCCTCCATATGGCTCAACCATACCAGACAGCGGGAAGCTGAGATGGAAGGAAGCCTCATACGTCGCGGACTTCACCGTGATTGGCGGCAGCGACGTCGCGACTTGATTCCTTTCCTTAGTCAGTTCACCCCCTTCCTGCTGTTCCTGCCGTGCCGATTTCACCATTTTTTTTTTTTTTTTTTTTCTCTCATGTTGTCACTGTGTTTTTTTAAACTCTAAAATATTAAAAAATAAATAATTAAGAATTAAACCTAAACTCTAAATCCTAAACCCTAAAATAAAAAAAATTAATTTTAAAAATTAAACCCTAAATCCTAAACCCTAAAATAAAAAAATAAAAAAATTTATATCAAACCATATATATATTCATATACTTTATATTTCTAAACCATATATTTTTTTTTTGACATGTCATATATCAAACATGAGCTCAAAATGAAACAACACCAATTTGTTCAGTGCAACTTATTATAAATTAAAAATTGATAATCAAAAATAAAAATTAAAGTATTCATTTCTTAGTTTAAATTATTTTTACATAATAAATTATAAGCAAAAGTTTAATCAAATAATTTGTCAAAAATTTTTAGAATAAAAAAAAATATAATCAATTAAGATAAACCGCATTAAACCGTCCCGATTACATGTAATAATAAACAAATGGAGTTCTAAAACCGATCATTGAATGAGAAGTTTATAAATACATTTTTTCCCAAAATCACATGGAAGGAGATTGGGCTAAAAATATGGCCCAATTATAGATCAGCCTGTTGAACCTGAGCTTTCGACCCATACTATAAGCTTGTTTTGGTAGCAAAAATATCAATAATCACCAGCAAATCATTCTATACATGTAGGAGTTAAATTTAGGCAGATCTAATCCGAGCAACTCAAACACAGATGGAATGTTTTTAAAATTTAAATAACATATTTTCAAATTTTGTGTATAATTGGAGAAAAATTTAAAAGTCCGTATTAAATTTGAGATGAACTTTGGCAAATGCACACAATTTCATACAATTTGAAGCTCAAAATAATTGGCCATCCTAAGTCTGAGTACAATAAATAAATAAATAAAAAGAAAAAAAAAAGGTGCAAAAATTTGTATTTTTCACAATTTTACATAAATACTAAATCTAAGAGCATCTCTAATCGTAAATGTTATTATAGCATCTCCAAAGACATACTATAATAACAAATTGTCAAATTATAGCAATAGTGCTCCAATGATACAAAGCCATTTTGACAAATCCCAACTGAAGCCGAGGTTGGACAACTCTCTTGGCTGGTCGATCAACCGAAAGACCGGGGGGTCGACCGGTGGATGAAATTTTGCTGAGTTATGCAGAAACAGAGAGCTTGTATGACATAAAAGTTCGTTTTGGATGAATTGACACATTTGGCATTTGCCAAATTTAACAGCTCCAATGGCAAATTATTGAAGAATCACTTTTGCACCAAAATTGTTATATTAAGCAGCTCTAATAACAAGCTATTGAAGGCTCTATTTAAAGCAATAAAATTTAGGAACATTAATTTGGCTTTAAAAAATGACTTTTCCCAAATCAATTGTATTACAAAATCAATGAGATTAGCATATTGATCCAAAGTAAAAATAACAAAAGAATAAAAAAATGTTTTTGATCCATTGATTTTTTTTACATGAAATTTGAAATTAGCCTTACAATTTCGGTTTTATTAATAATTTTGGGTTGTCAATTTTTACTGTCTCATTTTTGATATATTAAGCGAATGCAAAATTTTAAAAGTGAAAAAATTGTTATAGAAAATTCATAAAGAATCTCTCACTAAAATAATATAGGGTAATATTTTTACAATTAACAATCATCTTGGTATATTATTTACTTTGATAAATTCGCTGCAGCCTCATTAGTTTTTGAATAATACTATATGCATCAATTAGTATACTAATTAATGTACCAATTGATGATGTAGCATAATTTAAGAGATTTTTGATATTTGTAATCTGTATAATGAGTGAGGCTAATAATAATGTCATAACTACTGTTGGTACACTGGTTAGTACACTAATTGATACATGTAGTACCATAGTTAGTTTTTATACAAGTTAGTTTTGTAATTTTTTCTTATGACATTAAATTTTTGGGTAAATTACAAATACACTCTTGAAATTTGCTTAAAATACAAATTGTTCCCTGTGGTTTGAAAAATTATAAATACCCCCTTATTAGAATTTTTTATTTAACAGGATTAATTAAAAAAATGAAATTTATAATTGCTCTCCTGTATAATAATAAAATTACCTGAATTATTAATAGAAACATATTTTTAACACCATTAAAAACTATTAATTGACTTGATGATTTATTAATAAAAGGGGTAATTTGTTATGAAATTAGAAATCTCAGAAGGTAGAATGTAATTTTTAAAACTATAAGAAGTAATTCGTATTTTAATCTAATCTCAGATATTGTATTTGTAATTTACCTTAAATTTTTTTATATTTTTTGAAAAGCATGTGTGGCCTTTCCAGCTGGAAAGGATTTCTCCATGATAAGCCTGCTGAGGTGGACAATGGGAAGTTTGTTTAATAACCATAGTTGGCTAGTTTGATTCATTTTTCAAAACGTTACATTCAATATCTTGTGAGAAGTCATTTGGTGTTTCAGGTGTCACTATATGGTACCTTAAATTGAATGTGATTGATGGAGAGAGTGAAATTCGCTGATTTCTATCAATGAAGAGAGTAACATGAGGCATGACAATTGATGATTAATTAGAAACACTAACACATAACAATCCTAAAGTATCAAATAATTTTCCATTTTTATGATCGTGCAAACAAATGTTGATTTCTATTTGATAAAATGTTAATCTCTATTTGGTGCAACAAAGACTACTTGTAATTTTTATTTATTTATTTAAAACTTTGTGTTCTAGTGCTTTGTGCAATTAAGTAAAAATAACTTGAAAAGCTAATTATTAAAAAAAAAAATGAGAGAATGATATTTCTAACTTTGCTCTTTACTTTTTAATTATCAACGTCCACCTTACAAGAAGCTATAAGCTATACCAAATAGACCCTTTGCACCATCCAGCTTCACGGACATCAATCAAACAGAAGAAGAAAATAAAGAGTAAGGTGGGTGTGAAAATGAATTTGTTAACCAATTCACACAATGTAAAACCACATTTTTCACACAATGTAAAACCACATTTTGACCACAACTGAATTAAGTCTCCCTCTTCTTCCCTGCTTTTTTTACTAGCAAAAGTTAACTAATAAATCGAACAAAATCCAACTCAATCCTTTCTATGCTTAAAACCACGCCACCGAAGACATGATGGTATGGATTACACATTAGAACCATACAAAAATAGTTTAGATGTGCAGAGAATACATCAATAAGCTTATAACCTTCTTAACATTCCATATGAAGGCTTAACCTTTGGTGGTCCTCTAGCCGAGCATACAGAAAGGCACAAAAGCTCACAAAAAATTGTTATCATTGAATATGAAAATTTCAATATCATTCCAAACCCAACTCATATCCTAAAACTATAGTAAATAAAGCTTTTACAGGAAAATAACAATTGATTATAATAAACACTCCTCAAATATATTATACCAACTTTTCATATATTATAGAATTTTCGATTATTTTTCCTATGAACACAAGGGAAACAAAGATAACACAAAGACTCCATAAGTAAACATCCAAAACAAGACTACACAAGACTCTTGCGCAGTTTATTCCAAACCAAAACCTCAGGGGACCTAAAACACTAACCAGTACGACACAAGCAAAACAAAGTCACCCTCTATCATCTCATGAGATTAGCATCAGGCTTGAACAGAAGCCATGTGCACAATCAAGACAACCACACGTGAACTGCAAAAGCATAGAAGATTGTGTCAAGGGACGACGCAACGTTGCGTGCAAGCGACGCGAGTAAAATAGAGTACTGAAATTACCTGTAACCCCATTCATTGTCATACCAAGCAATAAGTTTCACGAAATGTTCATTCAAAGCAATCCCAGCCTTGGCATCAAAGATGCATGACCTACATAAAACACACAAATTCAATAACAATTTCATGAGATCACATCCACTGAGTGTTGCCCACAAACCTAATCAGCCAGAACATTAGGAAGGAAAGAACAATAGGACAATCTACCTGCTGTCACCCACAAAGTCTATTGAGACAACGTCATCTTCAGTGTACCCCGTAATCCCCTTGAGTTTGCCCCCTGACTCCTCCCTGAAATTAACCAAGAAACGGAATCAAAGATCAGAAAAAAACAGAAGTAAAATCCAACCACTAAACGAGAATTGGCAGTTAAAGAAACTTCATACTAAAGTGTCCTTGTTCTGACAAATAAATACAATCAAACAAATCTATTAGGCATCTCAGTTTGATTGTCTAATACATAAAACAATGCAGCTAGTTTGAAGGAATACTATAAACACTCACTTGATCACATCTTTGATTTGCTGGTAAGAAGCTCCTTTCTCAAGCCTCACAGTGAGATCCACAACTGAAACATCCACTGTCAGAACTCGGAAAGCCATTCCAGTCAACTTGCCATTCAGTGCTGGCAGAACTTTTCCGACTGCATGTTAGAGTAGAAGAAAGCAAACACACATGCAAATTAATCAAAAAGCTCAACACCATAAGAATATGAAATAAATACCCATTGGGAGTGAACAAAAGAGAACAAAATACAGTACCACATTGACACTCCGCATCTCAAATGATATTGATATCAAATCAAATACAGGCAACAATTTTCACACATAAGGACAGCGTCATTTACATAATTTGCTGACTACCTTTGCAGCACCAGTGCTGCTTGGAATGATATTGAAGGAAGCAACTCTTCCACCCCTCCAATCCTTGCTTGATGGCCCATCAACAGTCTTCTGAGTGGCTGGGTGACGATTTACAAGAGAGAAAATTGAAAAAGATATCACAAATCATATCCCGAAGCAACAACCTAACCATGTAAGCACTCACCAGTGATGGAGTGAACAGTAGTCATAAGACCCTCAACAATGCCAAACCTATCATGAATAACTTGGCAAAATTGTTGAAATAGAAAATTTTAAGCAAAGCAATGTACCAATTTTAACTAAGCCAACAATTCTAGTCGATTCTAAATTGGTGTCAGTGTAACCTTGGCGAGAGGAGCAATACAGTTTGTAGTGCAGCTAGCATTGGAGACGATGTCAAGATCGGGCTTGTATTCCTTCTCATTAACACCCACAACAAACATAGGGGCATCCTTACTTGGGGCAGAAATGGTCACCTTCTTTGCACCACCCTAATTACACCAAACAGTTTAGCCCATTGACCATAAACAATATAACAAATAGCAGGAGTATTTTTACTAAACTCATGCCATTTCCAAAACTCTGAAGTAGTTTTGAACTTACTTTTCAAATCTATCTTGCTTTATTGTTTTGAGAACTCGTGTTTTGATAACATGAAAACACGACTTCAAACTCAGAGTCATGTTTTCGAATTGTGATCTACTGATTTAATCAACGTATTGTAAAAAATTTTGAAATCGTGTTTTCAAAACAAGATTTCAAACCAGAACTCAAAACACGACTTTTCAAAACGATTTGAATTCGGGAAGTAAGTTCAAAATGTCTTGCATTTGGAACATACACTACAACAAAAAAAGGTTTCTACGGCGCGCAATGCACGCCGTAAAAACCCTTCTACGACGTGCAACGCGCGTCATATTATGACCAGTCATGGAAAGTCATTCACTTTCAACGACATGCTTCGTACGCCGTTAAAAACTATTTAACGACAGATTTTGTACGTCGTCGTTACTTTTTTTACGACATGCTAGAGTACGCCATTAAAAACTATTTAATGACAGATTTTGTACGTCGTCGTTATTTTTTCGACTACTTTTGCACGCCGTTAATTGGTGAGACAAATAACGACGCTGATTGCGCGCCGTAAAATATGTAATACGACTTATTATGCCTGCCGTAGAATATGCAGTTTTTATTTTTTTATTTTTAAATTCAACAGGTTCGATTTGACCAATTTTGTACAATCTAACAAATATTACAAACATGCATCACAAAATATCAATCAACCATAAAAATATTGTTTGAAACATTAAAAGGAAACTATATCCATAAATTATAAACATTCAACAATTGTCTATACATTCTAAACATTCGAAAACTACATCCTTAAGTTCTAAATTGTACAAAAAGTTTAAACCATCCAAAACTATGCATATCTAACTTTCTAAATATATCAACTACTATTAAGAGATTATCTAAAACTACTGACAACGGTTCCTATAGCAGTTGCAGTTGTAACTGTTGCAAATCCACTTGCTCCTATCACAGGAACGAGGATGCCCAATGTATGTGTTAAGGCACCAAAACTCGCGGCAATAGCTGGAGCAACTAATCATGTTGCATTTCTTGTCTGCATGACAAAGTAAACTTCACATAAGTACAAAAACCAACGACTCATGGAAAAAAATATTTCTTGAGGTATTAAGAAATGATCAAGAAATTTTAAAACATCAACAAAACATTTCCAAAATTAATAAGATAATTCAATGGTCCCATAAAAGCAATGTCATAATGAAAAATTAGCAAAAATTCAAGATCTCAATAGTTTGCTACTAAATCTAGGCCATAAGAAGCTCAAGCGAAAAATCAAATTTAAAAAGAGAAAAGGTGGAATTAATCTACTTCAATGCAACACCTACTTGGGACTTGCATAATTATGTTAAAGGATCTCTATGTATGAGGTTTAGGTTTGTATAGGTTTTATATTGTAAGTTCCAAAATAAATAGTCCAAGTCAAATTAGAGTCTATATATTATATACACGTTTAAAAAGAAACTTTCAATCCATTATAGAAGAAATTTAGGTAAGTTTTAGTAGCTTTAGGTGCTTTTTGGGACAATACAATGTAATTCTACCTGAGTACTTAGTAGCAAATACATAAGATAAGGAACTATAAAAATAATCCCTAAGCTAATATTTTTCTTCTCTAATTTTTCATTAGTATCTAATTCAATCACAAGCTAGCAGACAAGGGAGAGGCAAAATAAACAAATTTTCATGACTGAAGCAGACGAGGAAGTAATAAACTGATGTAATCCCAATAATTCCATAACTAAATCTTTGGATCATACAGGAAAACAATAAACTAATGTAATAAACTATTTTGGGAAGCAATAAACTGATGTGAAAAAACAATTTTACATAACAGATTTCGTAAAAAAACAATTTTGTTTTCCCTCACAGAAAACAATAACAGAAATTAAAAAAATTGGCTTTGTTCAGCAACTATATGTTCTATTTGAAGCATCAAGTGAAGTGTTATAAAATGCAAAATTCGATGAATGGAAAAGTCTCACAAAATTTAAAAAATTCCAACAAAAGTTCAAATTCTCAAATAATAACAATGGTTTGATCTCCATAGGGCATTTATGACAAACTCCAATTTCCAACAAGGATGGTTAAAAGAATACATTTTTTATTTTCATTTTTTATTAAGCTCTGATTTTTCTCTTATACGAAGGGATCAAGTATATAAACATCTCAGTTGTTTCCACAAACTAAAGAAAGACAACTTAACATAAATATTTTTTTTTAATAATATATATACCTAATCCAACATTTCTGGAATTAAACTAAAATCAACACAATGTGAAAATAAGATAACACCAACTGATATTCTTCTTTTATATATTAGAAATCATTGGATGGGTGTGTCATGAAAATTAAGTTTTTTTACTTATTTTATAAATAAAAAAAAAAAATAGATGAAGAGGGAAAGAAAACTAAAGCTCACAGAAAATAATAACAGATTTAATAAACTGAAGCACACAGGAAAGTAATAAACTGATGTAATAAATCGAAGCACACAGGAAAATATGAATTGGAAAATGGGCATGGCCAAGTGATTCCAATAAAAGCGTAAAGGGCATGGCCAAGCGTAAAGGGCTCGGTGATGTTGCGTTTTGTGCTCGTTCAGAAGTCTCAAAGTCGCGGCCGTGAGCCCTGCTTCCGGATTTCCGAACCCTCTTCTGTGCCTTGCCTCGATTTGCGAACCAGACTCGATTTTCTCTGTTTCTTTTCCTGAGGGGAGGGCGAGGTCCCGTAGACCATCTCTCAGTGGCCGTGGGCTACATTTTGTGGCTGTAGGCCATTTTGCCTATTTCGGAGCCCGGTTCCCGATTTTTCGGAGCCGTCAGGCCGTGTGGCTCGGTTCGGGACCGCCTAACTATCTCCGATTGCTCCGGTTTTTGGCATGCATCTTATTTACTCCCTTTTGAGGGACACTGAGGTCTGAGAGACCTACTTCGTGGTTGAATAACACTTTCGGTGCTTAACAAGCAGTTTTCGGGGCCCCAAACTGCGTGTTCTGGCCCCCGAACATTCGTTTTGCATCGGTTTTCGTTCATTTTTGGCAGGTACCTCTGTTTCATCACCAGGAAGGCCGTAGAAGGGTGGAAGGCCAGCAATTGTTTCAGCAACCAGTTATATTCCTCCGGCGCCCTCCGACGCCCGTTTTTCTCACTTCCAAGCCAATGTTGACCACCCTAGGGTCACTTTCTTCAATCCTAACCCCCATATTTGTGTTGTACACACATGGGAGGACACCAAAAGTTGGTGGCCGGCCAGTAATTCCACCTGACCCTTTTGAACCCTTCCTAAAAATGGCCTATTCTCTCTCATGTTTTACAATTGACAATTTTGAACCACAAGGTTGTGTTGAGGGCACCTGGGAGGACACCAATTTGTGGTGGCCGGCCAGAAAATCTTTTTGACCATTTTGACCCTTGGCCGGCCGGCCATGGTATATTCCAATGATCCTTGGCCGGCCATGATCCTTGCAATGTGTATATTCCAGCTGTATATCTGTTTTCCCCCCAAAAAACCTGTATCCGGGGGACAACTTTTGGGGGGAAACTTGATCCATTTTCCCCCCACTTTTTCCCTCCATTTCTCCCCCATTTTTGTCTACATAACAGAGCCTCCAGCTCTGTCTTGAGGGTTGAAAAAATTTGCCTTAAGCCTGGTACACACATCTCCCTCCATCTCTCTCTTTCAAGCTCAAGCATCCAAGTTTCTTGCACCATTCCTTCATCACTACCTAGCATCACCACCACTACTCCATTTCCAGCAGCTTGGGAAGCTTTCCAGCAGCTAGGAGGCATCACTTCTCAAGCCAAGAAGCAACCAAGGGTTGGTCTTCAAAGGTAAATGTCAATTCCCTCTTTTTGAGCTTAATTTTGGAACATTTTTCTAGCTATTTTGCTTGCTTTTTTGAGCTCCGACCAAAACTTAAAGTACCCTTTATTTGAGCTCTATTTCATGATTCATTAAGGGAATTTTGTCATTTGAGGTCCCCATCTTGCACTTCCTGCTTTATCTCTCCTTTAGGCCCTAATCTTGCATGTTATTTTTGGCCTATGTGTAATCTGTTTTGGGGCATGTCATAAACTGTAAGTGAGCTTGTTTTGAGCCCTTCTTCAACATTGAAGAAGGGCTCATCACTGTTTAGATACCCCATGTGCTACTTGCTTTGAAATCCATGTTTTTGCCTCATTTTGCATGTTTTTTTAGCCTATTTTTCTTCTGTTTTTGGACCTTGGTCCGAACTGAAAGTGGCCATATTTTGACCCCCTTGTCATGTTTCATTAAGGGTCTTTGGCTGTTTGATAAATTTTTTGTATACTTTGTGTTTTGACCTCTTTTGGGCCCTACCTTGCATGGCATTTTGAGCATACTTTTATATTGTTTTGGGGGTTTCCATAAACTGTAAGTAGTCATATTTTTGGTCCCTCTTTAATGTTGTAGAAGAGTCTTTTTCTTTTTGGGCTTTTCATCTACCACTTGCTTCATTGCCTCCCTTGCGGAGCCATTTTTGTATGATAATTTAGTCCCACTTTTGCTTACTGTTTGGCCATGCTTTGAACTGTAAAAATGCTTATTTTGGGGCTTCCTTGCTTCTGTCTTTTCATTCCATGTACCAATTATGCATGCTTTGTATAGCTGTAAGCCATTTCATGTACCTAGTTTTGCATTTCGGGACCATTTTCATGCATCGGGTGCCATATTCCTATGATTCGGGGCTGTTTTGGGTCATGTTTT